CCGACACACGCCGTGCCTCCCGCCAGCCCTCCCAGGCAGTGTTAGGGCAGGCAGGGTGCAGCAGGCGAGCACGAGGCCAGGGCCGGCGTGCACAGGCTCCGTTACCTTCCTAAAGAAGGGGATGCGCTTGGTGTGGGCAGGGGGGGTGGTGACACTGCTCACGCTACTCTTAGGGGAGCGGTGGGTCTCCATGGCCTCCTCCTCCTCCTCTAACTCATCAGGGTCAAAGGCAAAGCTAGGCATGTCCAGGGCACCTGGGGACGGACGGGGAGCCGGAGCGAGAAGGGGGGGGAGGGAGAAAAGAACAGGAATAATGGTAATAAAAAGAGAGGAGAAATGGAAACAGGGAGCTGGGAAGAGCAGGAGGATGGTGGGGACGGGACCGGAGAGAAATAGAGGAGAGGAGGCTCCCAGGGCAGACGGGGCAGCACACTCGTCTGTCTGTGCGTGTCCAGCAAGCAGGGCCGTGCGTGGGCAGGTCTGTGCGTGTTCCCAGCACACGTGCACACACGCGGGACTGTTCCCCGCGCAGGTGTGCACGTGTGTGGTTCAGGACGCAGGCGCAGAGGCGAACGCGCGTGCCTGCACTGGCCGGCAGCGCAGCGTGGGGAGCCCCAGACGATCTGCGGAGCCGTGCCCTGGCCTGCGGGGACGCTCGCCCGGACGGATGTCCCACCTGTGTCCTGGCCTCCCGCCTGGCCTCGTGCACGGTCACCATCACCCAGCTGGCCCCGACACCCCGCTCTGCCCTTCGCCCGCTGCGGCTGTGCCGACCCCACCCCCGTGACTGGGGGACAGGACCCGCACGGCACTGTGTCCCCAGCACGTCCCAGCTGGCATCTCCGCCCTGCACAGGGGCACCTGGGGCAGGTCAAGGGGGTCTGTTCTGGCCCCCTTTGGTGGTAGCGAGGGAGCAGTGGAGACAGAGCTGCTGTGATTCAGGGGGTGGACGAGGGGCGGTTTCCCAGCAGACCCCCTCCCCGCAAGCTGGACCTGCCCCATTAAGGCCAGGGGCAATGGGGACCCCGGACACACTTACCGCTGGCCGGTGGGGTGGGTCGGCGGGTCCCCGTCACCACGTCGCCCAGGCTGGAGCTGGAGTTGTCTCCCGATTTGCTGGAGGGGGAGAAGCACAGAGAGGGGTCAGTGCCCCAGATGGGGAAGAGGGAGGAGGATGGGATGGAGGGATCTGGGGAGAGCCAAGGGGACGACCCAGGACGAGTCCCACCTTGAGCTCAGGCGGTTCTGCCTCATCTTCTGCTCCTGCAGCAGCCGCATGTTTTCCAGCTTGACGGGGCTGGGGATGAAGCCGACCTCACAGCCCTCCTTCACCAGGCGCCCGATCCACCAGTCGTTGTTGTACTTCTGCGCCGGGGAGGGGGGAACGCCTGAAACCCCCACGGTGCCC